TTGGTAAACATTATCAGAACCAATTAGTAAATAAAATAAAGTAATTAAGAGCTAGCATTGCACTACTTCTCTATAGAGCACTGGTACTTTCAAGACTGGATTATTATTATTGTATGGAGATGCTGCAAAAACTCATTTGGCTAAATTAGACAAAATCCAGTATAAATCCCTCAGAGTGAGCTTGGGAGCTATGAGATCCACGCCAATTAACGCTCTTCAAGTGGAAGCTAAGGAGATGCCTCTCACCCATCGTAGGTTCCTGGTCACAGGTAGATTTTTATCCTCTCGTATGCTAATCGAAAACCACCCCACTGACCTCCACATCCGCCAACTTGCTACCGCCTCCAATACCAGCAAATTTTGGCGGAATAAGAAATCCCCCTTGCTATCTACTCTTTTTTTTAAACTTTCCCACTTGTATATCTCTGTTCCTCCAACGTCCAACCACCCGAAGTTCCTTACCAATCAATTTCCACTACTGGTCCCTAACAAATTTAACAAATTTGCTATTCCCGATCCCCTTTCTATTTCCAACTGGTCCTCCTTCCCTCCATACATTGAGGAGGCATCTTGTAGCGGCTTTTGCGAANTTGATTAAAGAACATTGCTTTAAAGTAACTAGTTTCTTTTTTTTTGTTTAATACCAAAATCCTGCATTATTTTCCGGACAACCCAATACAATCATGGTTTGTCAAAATCCAATTATAAAACTATTTTTGTATTTTTCAGAGATATGGTAACTGTATTAGATTTAATATTATTTGAAAAACCTATTCAATTTGTGCTTTTTGTCAGCTGTGGCCTTAACATTGTTTACACTGAATAAAAACACAACTTCACTTGTGAGAATATTACTAAATTTCATTCTACATCAATTCGACGGTCTTCGTTATAGTTTTTGGTTTTTATTATTTGCTATTTACACATACACAATAGCGATTTATTGAACTGAATGCCCAGCACTGCACCCGGAGCACTCAGGTTAAGAGAACCAGTCAAAGTGGCAGTCAATCTGACTGATAAAGAGCGAGGAGGTCTCGAGGCCATCGTCGTTTAAGGCCTGTTCTCGGGATAGGATGTAGGTAAGGCTTGAGGAGTAAGATTAGGATGGACTTGGTTGAACTTTTCCGGGATCGGATTTGTTCATTGCCGAATCGAATATTGAGGTCGTTGAATTTAGTGAAGTTAATAAAGTAGTAAGGAGCTTTGACAGTTCGTCCAAAGAACTTGTGGTTAAGAAGATGGAATGCACTGGATGGCTTGGTGTAACCACACGAATCCACTTCTTATGTCCAGAGTGGTCGGGGTAACTTGTATAGGGTTAGTTGAGTTTTGGCGGGCAAAAAAGGATTTCAGCCTTAAATGCTTTCGTAGTTGTCGAAGTCTTATGTTACATGGTTCTCCCTTATATATTGTGCGGGGATACCACGTCACTCCGCTTTCTAGGAGAGTTCTAAATATTTGATTTGAATGAAAGTCGGTAGCTGAAGGGAAGAGACATTGTTCATTTTTCCTAATTAAGTCTTATTCTTTAAAGATTGTTTGGGAAATATTTAGGCTAGAAGAAAGAATTGCGGTGTTATACGCATAGGTGGGAATGTTGGCTTTGGGATAAGTAGAAAAATCATAAATGATAACCAGGTTGGAACCAAGACCGCTCCCTTGAGGGATGCCGGCTTATATAGATCCAAGATTTGAATAATCGATGTCACACCCGTTGAAATGTATTTTTAAAAAATCAAAATAAAACTAGGATTTTAAAACTTGATACAAAAACTGATTAACCGTCACAGAATATGACCTGAAATGCACCTGACAGCCCAAGGGAGAATATGCAGACCGTGATTTTAAAAAAAATTAAAGCTAAATTTTAATTATAATTAATATTTATTAATAATTATTATAATAACTGTATTATTATAATTAATAAAATACAGTTAATATAATAATATAACGGTTACGCAATTTTGACTTAAAACATTGACAGAATAATCTCTTGTGAAGCCAAGGCAAATCGACGGTCCTACATCAAAGTTGCGGAAATAGTACATCTTCCAATTTTAATTTTTATGTTTACCTGCCCGTCCGTAATGGATATTTGGGTTGATGGTCGTTAACCGGGCTGTTTCCTGTCCTTTCAACCTCGGCGATTATTCCACAAACGAGATTTATATGGTGACTGACGGGAATATCGAGCATCTATTTACAAGAAGCACAAGACCATTAGTCTACCGGAACTGGCGTTTAAACTGTTAGAAACCGCTGTTGAATGGGGAAAAGATGGTTCATCGGTTGCAGTTATACATCTTTTACCAAGATACATTAAAATCACGTTAACGTTTATGATAAACATAAAAACTATAGGTAAAGTTTTGTTATTTTATGTTGTCATTAAGAAGGAGTTTATTTTATCCATATCTACACGTGTATTTGCTTTATTTCCTATTTTTGTCTTAATTATTCAATTATTCTAAATAAAAAAGTATATATAGATCTATTTAAAAAAATAACTACTTCAGATTAAATTAGTAGTGACCCTTTTTTACCTTACTAAGCTCAAAATAACATGCCAAAATTAAATAACGTCTTCCAATCTAAAATAAAAATTGTCAATAGGACTCGATAAAGTCCAACTCACAATAGCCAATATTTTCCGCTATTTCCCGGATTCTGCCGTGGTTTACAATTGCCATGATTTCCTATCTTCTTCGAAGAAATCGTAGAAAAACGGTACAGAGGTCCTTGGTTCCGGTTAATCGATTCCCTTAGGAGTGAATCCAACACGATTACGCACTTCTTCCCACGGGGCGATAATCGACTCGGTCAATTAGTCAATATCTGGGTATCGATCTCGGCCGATTTTATTGTTACATACGCTAGTTCATGCCTGTCGTCTTTTACAGCACGGGTCCTTCCTCCATCAGGACCTCAATTAATTGTATCCTGTATAAACAGGATTTGTCGTCTCCTTGGAGTGTTGGTTTAAACAATATTTCTTACATGTATTATATATATTATATTATGTATATTATTTTACATGTATTTATATGTTTTGCACAATGCTGAATAATGAGCAATGGGTTCAATGTTCTGACTTATCTCTTTTGACAATTGTGTCGTGGGTTCACTCAGAACGTTTCCAGTTTCGGTATTATGTGAATAAAACAAAAATGTCTTCTTTAGTGAAAGCACTTCAAAAATTGGCGATATTTTAAAAGGTCCGTTGAGCATGACGTTGAGTGGCGAAATTGTAACGTCTTCCGGAGACTGAAAATCATGAAATTCGTTTTTCCTTCCTTATTTGCATATTTACTCCGACTTTCTTCTGACAATGAACGCAAGAATAAAATGTATGAAAGTAAAATAAAATTGGGAAGAACTCTCCGAAATTTATTAGTAGATCGAAACCAAACAACCGGTTCATCACCCCGCAGACCTCATAAAGAAATCTCATGATTCCCTCCAGCCAAACTTAAGATTGAGACTTTTCCCATAAATACTTACTATAATGCTTCATTAACTTGATGACTCAAGTAATCAACTAAAATAGTGTAAAGAAAACAACGAGTCTGATTTCTTTGAAAAACTCCCTCGTCAAAGATGGGTGTTTGACGTTCTACCGTTTCCAGGCTTATCGGGTTAAATGAAACAAACTATTAAAAATTGACAAAATTATTTTACATTTGTTCGATCTTTTCTTTCTTTAGTGCAATGGTTTTTACATTATTACAATTATATATTCTATTTTTAAATTGGGTTTAATTAACACGTGTGTAAAGGAGGCATCCATATCCAACCTAACGTCTCTTCAGAAATTTTTAGTATGTAAAAATCTGTTTAAGTTCTCGTTATTTTTCATGATTCTCTCTTCCCTTCTGTTTCCTGCTCGCTTGCTCCCAATTATCTTACATTTTCTCCCTCTAGCTCCCATTCTCATCTTCTCTCTCCATATATGTATATTTATTTATTTACCTACAACATACGTATACATCTATTATATCCTCCTATCTCTTTCTCCCTTCCTCCCTCCCACTCTCTCTCTCTCTCTCTCTCTCTCTCTCTCCCTCTTTCTCTCTCTCTCTCTCTCCCTTTCTCTCTCTCTATCTATCTGTCTAACAATCAATCTAGCTAACAGTCCTCTCTCACTCTCTCTCCCTTTCTGTGCTTTTTTCTCCCTCTCTCTTCATCTGTCTATCTATCTATCTCCCTCTCATCTTTCTCTTTCTGTCTGTCTTTATCTGTCTGTCTCTCTCTCTCTCTCTCACTCTCTCTCTCTCTCTCTCTCTCTCTCTCTCTCTCTCTCTCTCTCTCCTTTATATCTCGCTTTCGCTCTTTCTCATTCTCTCTTCCTCTTTTTCTCTCTCTCATTTTCTCTTTTCTTTCTTTTTTACTTCAAATTTATTGCCTTTTTAAACTTATTTTGCTCTCTTTCACCCTCTCTTTCTCTTTTCTTTCATTTTCACTGTCTGTCGCTTCCTCCATTTATTTCTTACTCCCTCTTTCTTACTCCTTCTCATCTGTATCCTCCCTTCTCTATCTCGCTCTCTATTACTCCGTCTCATTCTTTTCTTTCTACCTCTCTTACTCTTTAACTTTCTCTCCCACTATCTCCCTCTCCCTTCGTTTCTATCTTTCTTGTTCGCTCAGTTCCAACGTCCGTTCTATCCTCTGTTTCTCTCTTTCTTTCTCTTGCATTTTCTTGCTCTGTCCCACTCTCTCTCCCTATATTTATGTAACTATTTTTCACTACGTTTATCTCTCTCTATTTCCATCTCTTTCTCTATCTATGTATTGCCCTTCCTCCGTTTTTCTTTACAGTTCTCTATCTAACTAGAACATATCCAAGCATATTTTTCTTTATCGGTCTGTCTATATATTTTTAAGAGAAATGATGTTCACCATTTTAGTATTTGGCCTAAAACATTTTCAATAAAACTTATTCCACTGTAAACTAGTAATAAAATTTTATTTATTAATTTCGTTTTGATTTTTTTTTCCAGCGGCTGGAGCTACAGCGGGCTCCGCGAGTACTTTAAGAGAGCTGTACGCCCTGGCGGCGACGCAGCAACCCCTCGCATCTCTCGTAACCCACCAACAGAGGCTACTCGAGCTTTCGAGGTTCAGACATTACGACCTTTTATCCCACCAACAGGGCGCTGTCACCAAACTTTTAGGTAAGCCTGCATCATAACTTTATGTCCATTAAATCCAAATTTTATACCCGAAATCGACTGGAGATTCCGTGTAGGATAATCGGCCGTTAACGGCCCTTAGACCACCATCCTTGATAATTCATCTATGTGTAATGTAGATTTATGAGGGCTATCGAGAGATCAAATTTATGAATTTTTCATTTCACCCAAATTGTTTCTAATGGCGAGAACTGTTATCGCACACACGTCGGGTCAATATATCGACAAATAACAATTTACATCGCTAAACTTGCATTATCTATTATAAACTAGATAGCAATTGCACCTACCGTTTTTATTTTCCTACCGATCTTTTTTCCCAACCAATTGAGTTAACACTGCTGATCTCCAAGGACGTGAGTAAATAACTCCAACTGCTTACAATAATTAATCACTTCTTTTGAAAGAAGAAGAACAAACAGAACACAAAAAGACTTTCAGTTAAGCAAAATATAATAAATATATTGAAGCGCAAAAAGCGAAGTTGGTTTAATAACACTGACAAACAAACGAAAACTTTACTGTGTCCCCATTTGGACAACGTACATAAACTCTATGAGACTGCTCAGCGTTCCAACCTTAATCGAATCCAATACCTCCAACCTAACGTCCTCAGAACAATGGTCTATGTTGCCAATAACACCATCCAAACCGACCTAAATGTTCCATTTGTTACTCATCTAACCCAATCCCGCTACCAAAGGTTCCATCCCAAACTATCCAATCATTCGAACCCTCCGTCAAAAACCCATCATACATCACGTTACTTATAACCCTCATATAAGACTGAAGCGCCGTGGCCCCGCGACACCTACTTGATATCGATCTGATAGGATGAAGCCCCCACTGGATAGTGCTGTTCATGTTTCCATTTTATTATTTATTATTACTTATTGCATCGAAAAAAGAAGAATACAAAAAGAAGATTAAAAAAATAATGTTTAGTAACGATATATATAACATTGGCTGATCTTCCAGTTGTTTAATATAGTCGGATTATCAAATTAGTTCTTGTTCAAGATAATTACTCTTACTCATTGTGTGATATCAAAGTGATCAAAATTTAAACAAATCCAAAAAAGGGTTGTTTTTTCTTTTCTTCGTCGACGAACAAATGATCGCTCGTTCGGAGACACCTGCTAGTCAGTTTTTATTCAGTCTCGTTATTTTTATCAGCATTCCTAATAAATACCTTTCAGTCCATGCATGCGGAATCCGGGAGAGAACAAGCTGACTGATTAAAAAACAAAAACAATGCTACTTTAAATGGGAACAAATCGATGCAGCTGTTACGATGATATCTCGTACTCCGTTTGTTTTTAAATTAAGCACGAAAGCCGTTTGGGCTTCGTACTTTAAAAGTACAAAATGTCCACAGGATCCGACTGTAAAGTTTGCCCACGTTAACATGTGCACGGGCTACAATTTAAAACGCTGTCGCAATACAAGTAGTAATCAATAAACGGATAATGGCCATGTAATTAAGACCTTCTGGCCACCGGGCGACAACGTTGGACCGTTCGCAATTAACAGGCCTAACTGACCGTGTCGATTGTTAACATTAACAAAACCTCAGATAAACGATTATTTGATACAAGTCGATTTATATAGCATAATTTCACTTTTGATCCTTCATTAATGCTAATAATATTCTATTAAATATAGTAAATACATCCACTGGATCTGTTAAAAAAGCGAAAGGAAAAGCGAGAATAGACGGACCAAATTTTACAGGCAATGAATAAAACTACGAACTTGCAAATTTTGCGTTTTTTTAAATATAGTGTATACAAACATAAGTTTTTACAATTATATTAAAAATGGGTAACGAAACTGTAGTCGAGGAAGGTCCGTCCTAACCTCCAGGCCTGACCATCGCGATCTGACGCTGAAAATGCAATTGAAAACAAACAAAAAAGAGAACTGGAAATATCGATGGGCCGGATAGGCGGAGGAGTTCTCACGTATCAAAAGTTCAGCATCGAATGAGAGGGATCAAACGCGAATTAGAATCGGCATGCGAACAGGGAACATAATTTTATCCCAAAGCAAGTATGTGTCTGGCATATAGAGAAGGATTATTCGATCTGATATAATTCCTTGGCTCCACATATAGGGCCCGATATGAAAATTCGATTTTTGGTTTTCCTTCCGAATATATTGTTAGTGAATGTATTTATTAGCGCGAATATTTTGTGTGAGAGGGCGGATGGAATAATGTATACTGTATCGAACCTCAATTAGATTAGTTTAATGGTATGTGTAAAGGGGTGATGGAAGAACAACGAATAGTCTGAATGAAATGTAAACATGAAAGAATGTACAATGATTGTACTAAGAATGTGACTGTGCTTAGGTTTAAAAGTTGTATTCGTTTCGACCTAGGGCTAAATTGACATTAATAAAATTGATTGATTGTATGTAGGTTTAGATTTCGTGTTCAGAAAACAAGTTAAAGTTTAGACTTAAAATGATAGCAATTGCAACCGTGGTTATTCTAGCCTGTCAGACACGTTTTCGCTTTTGGTCATCATCAGAAGGTATGGAACGGATTCTCCTCTTGCTTATATCCCTGCCAAATTGAATTGAATATGTGATTTAACTTTAAAACCTCACAGTTCATAATTCTTAATCAACAATTTTAAAAATGTTGAAGGCGTTGAAGTAAGAGATACTAATTTATCCCAATAAAACAATATTTTTTTTAAATTGTATTTGTCCTATTTTCACTTTGATTTTGACTATTTTGTATATTTGTGAAACTATAAAAGTAGAACGACATTCAGACATTATTTTGTGCAAAATTTTTGCGCGCTACTCCCTATAGTAAAGTTTTAAATCTTGAGATTTCATACCAGGTGATTTGCGGAGGATCTCCTATAATTTGCAGCTTTCGCCATATTAATTGTGACTCGGTGATTTATGTAAAGTCATTTTTATGAGGTGCTTGAATACGAGTTATCTTTGTTCGGTTCCAAACCCGATGAAGTTCGGTCGTTTCTGATTATCCAGGCCTGCCGATCGTTTGGTTTGGTATAAGACACACTGAGGATGGTGAAATACCGACGAACCCAACGAGGATCGACAGACTAAAATGATCGGTGCTGACGAAATTATAAGTTTTGAAAAATAATCGCTTCCGTTTCAAGAAATGATGAGTGTCATAGCAGCAAAAGCATTTTTTTTTAATCCCCAACAACAATTTATAGCACATCCAATGAGACTAGATGTCTGTTCAATAGTTGAATGAATAACAAGCGTTCTATGAGCAAAATAAAAATGACAGTTAAACAAAATAATAATTAATTCATTTATAAATTTCTATTATTTTTATGAGTCTATTGATAATTTAATCATTATTGATCAATGGAAAAAACAGAAATTTGTCGTTTTGACTGATATTCCACTGTTTGTTTTATTACTAAAATAGTAGTATATTTAATGGGTTTATTCCAATACATACATACATAGTTGCATCGCAAGAAATTTTATTTGTCGAATTCAATGAAAATTCGTGTTAGCAAATTATAAAAATAAATTGAACTTTTAATATTTATACGGTGTAATGGATCCCTATGTCAGGAATATCATGCAATAGATTATAAAATTACGTGGGCACGTTAATTACCGATTAACGACGTCGTTATTAACATTGATTGTGAAAACGCTTGAGTCAATTATTCGATTTGTTTGCATTAATTGCCAACCTTTAGGTGGTTTACTCGCCACTGTTCCGTGCAAATCGAAGGGTCAATTATTCAAGCACGTCGGACCGGACGGCCTACCCTTCAATTAACTAACTGGATACCTACAAACTTCTCCGTTAAGCTTATTAATTTAATATAATTGATTACATGTACAGATGGGGTAAAGACAAGTTCTAAAACTATCGATTTCTTTTCTATCGGTTCAATTATTCAATGTGAAATTACCTTAGGGTTGATACAATTGTAAGGGATCGTTTGAAGGCAATTTAAAATATTTCGATATTGGAGTGTATTTGATATTAAAAAAAATGTGTCGTGACTAAGCATCGGCCTTATTGGAATGAAAGAGTCACCTGCGGACAAAGGTGTGTCAAGGCATATGTCGTCCCGACCAAATCATTTGTCCCTAAAGTATAACTGTTCCCCGAACGAGTTGCCTTCTCTCGCGTGACAATCCAACAAATTGGACTTGATATTGGGTGAGTAAATGCTGGTTGCGAAGTCCCATTACCTCGTTACCTTTGAATAAAGGTGCATCCTGTGGTTCGTACTTATTTTGTGTCTTAAGCTTTAATTTGTATCCAAAGGCCGATGCTGTTATTTGACGGTCGGCCTGAAACTCGAGGCATCTTCCTCGATACGCGAAACCCGCTGAACTGGTAAGAAAGAGGCTTTTTCTACAGAAGCGAGCCCCTAAATCATTCAAACGGTACGTGGTCGAGTCTTACCATCTGGTGCCGGGACCTAATTGACCCGACGCACGACAGAGGACAATTTCGAACCGCAAGGAGACTGTCAACCGTGAGTTTGGCCATATTGATTATGGCTAAACGGCCATTATTCCGTATCGAGAGAACATATTGACATCGTTGCAATACACACCGTTTTCATAGAGTAGTAACCATTTTTAAAAATTATTCATACTTTAACTTAACATGCTATCATAAAAATATACAATTGATTAAACTAAAAACAAATCTGGGGCGTCGGTACACGATATTCATCACTGTAAGTAACTGCTTTACTGTTTTTGTAATCACTGTTATACCCCCAATAGTAAATAGACAAATCCTATGGCTCATACAATTGAAGAGGAAAAGTTTATTTTACAACCGTGAAGGGAGGCTAACCAGCTAAAAATTTCGAATCCGGTGGGAACTGTGATGACTATAGTCGCAGAAGTAAAATATGCTCGATTATCAACATCTATTACCACTGTGAATATATGATGCGCTCATACAATAAATCCTTTTTTTTCCCCTCCACCACCCCGCTGTACCTTAGGGAGACCCAATACCGGCGGACCTCGGCCTCTAATCTAGTTTTGCTTCTAATTTTGGGTCCTGGGGTACAACGCCTTCCTTCGTTCTCGCCCTGTGAGGGGAGGAGGCCCAAGGAAGGTAAGGGTACGGTATACAATTCTATATAGAATTCCAAGAATTCCAATTGCCAATATAGCATAAATTATCCCTAATGATCCAAAAGTTTCGTTTTTACCTCTTTCTTTTCTAATAATATGGGAAATTAGACTGAATCCTGGTAGAACTGGTATACTTCAGGATGATCAAAAAATCAGAATAAATGTTGGTACAGAATAGGATCCTCTTCCACGATTGAGTGTCCAAATGGATCGAAGAAAGAGGTAATTAAATTACGATCAGTAAATAATATGGAGATAGCACCGGCTAACACAGGTGATAATAATAATAAAATGCTGTAATACCATCAGATCATGCAAATAATAGCAGAGAGGAATTTAATTGTCCCCAAAATGGAGCTAATACCTGTGCTGAAAATTGCAAAATCTACAGAACATCCTATATGAGTAATGTTCCCTGATAAGGGAGGATAAACTGTTCGCCCACCTAGGTTAGTACCTGTTATTCGGGTGTATAGACGAATCATCTATACTCGAAAGAAAGACTGGGAAGCTCTTCAAATTGTAATGAAAGAATGGAAGGCTGACCTTATAAGCAAGACAGAAATAAGGGAAAAACGAACTGAACAGGTCAAATGTCGGGTTTCCGTCTCGGTGATGAGTTATTCCGCAAAGAGTAATAACCGTTATTGGTTCGTTGAATTTGGGGAAAGGGCCGGGAGTCGTAGGGTTGGGCCCTTTGTTAATTCAGGCCTAGGACGACTCACCCCCGAGAATCAATTATTCACTTTGCGGAAGGGGGTGTCTGCGGGGGTGTGAGACAATATGGCTGCCCACCCTTTTCAAATGGTGGGGGTTTGACCGGTTGCCGTTTACGCCAATCCACATACTTTCCAGGAGGGTCGAGCGACGGCGGCCAGGGGAGGGGCTCCTGGAGGCTCCAGCCGGGGAGAAATCCATAGAGTCCGAACACTCGCAACTCGCTTTCTAATCCATTGTCCGCAGAGGGATCTGAGGATGGTTGACTTGCGAATAAAAAATGTTTGCTCATTGGCCATCTTCACAAAGTTAAAAGTTTCCTATTCGTTCTATCACCTCTTATATAAAGTAAAGACTGTGATAACAATGGTATAGCACAACAAAAGATAAGCTTAATAGGAAATTATCACAAAATTTAATCAAACTATCGCCAATTTAAGAACTTAGTATATTGGATGAAATTACTTAAAACATTTTCCTTTGTCTATTATTGACAGATACTCAATAGATTAAAATTCTAGCATAAAAAAACTTTTTTCTCGTTGGGATCTGCGGGATGATTAACATGCAGTTTCGTCCTTTATAATCATCCTGGTCGGGTTATTATGTTTGTTTTGTCGTGGTTTTAATATGAAAAGGAGCATTAAGACAAAATGTAATGAAAAACTCCCGAAGATAGGAAAATGTCGAAGTCTGACATGCCACAGCATTGACAAAAGACAGTCCAGGAAGAACAAATCACAAAAATCAAACTTTTTTCTTGTTTATTTAGATATCGTGAGATGCGGTCTGGTGTGATGTAGTTTTAGAAAAAGAATTTCTTTATAGTGCCAACGTTCCGATCTTTATTGAGATCATTATCCTTTTTTCCATTCACTTCAAAGAAGCAGACTCCTCATTGAAAATTAATTTCTATCCCTACTTCCATCCCCACGCCTTCACAATCAAACATATACAAACAAAAAGACATTAACATCTCACTTATATTGTTATTTTTGTTGAATTTGTAGAGTAGCGGCGTATTTAGCCGAAGGTCGTGAGTTCGAATCCCGCTCGTGACACTGACTTTTTTACTTAACCAATACCTTTCATAAATATTAATTAATTGAAATTAACCAAAATGTTAATTGGTCAATCGGACCACGAACTATAATGGACTTTGATTAAACTACAATAAAAATTTCTATATTGTGTATACCACTGTATAAAATTCATTTTCACATCTTACATGTATTTGTATAATTTAAAAAATATTTATAAATCCCAGGCCCTGAAGACGATCTCAGTAAAGATCGAAACGTTGACACACTAAGCAAAACGTTTTTCTAAACCTACATCACACCAGACCGCATCTCACGGTCTCTAAATAATCATTAATTGACGGTCACTAAACAGTATTTTTTCATTTGAAAATTTTCATCAGCGTTCATCATTTCATCAGAAGTCTTCTGTGTCCCAAAATCTTGTTTATTCGAAAAAGAAGGCAGTAGACAAATTGAATTTTTCAGAAGTCTTAACTTGTTTAACTACATAATTATTATATGGTAAGGCTAATTCTAATAGTCCTTCCTGTCTTATAACATATGAAACAACATTAATAAATTACTCAATTGTGGACGGAAATTAATGTCCAGCCTTGAACAAAAAAATTATATTTGTTAGATTTCCTGAAATCTGCACGGTGGTAACAGTTGAAAAACTGAATTTTTCAGAGGTCTTAACTACTATATAATTTCTTTATTCTAACCCTGATTATGATAATCTTTTTATATATATGATATGAAACAACAAAGCAAACAAACAACACAATGGATAGAAATTGGATTTGCCAATAAGAAAATTATTGTAAATATCCTAGATAAATTATATATATATTTGATTTTTTGGGGGGAAAGTTGGATATTTTTGAATTTTCAGGCCAAACGCCTTGATTACTTATCACTAATTTGATATATAAATTAATACCCTAACATCAAAAGAGAAGGTATAATTGTGAATTTCTCGATGAGGTTTAGGCGGTTGTGAGTTCGGTCGTTCCAGATCATCCAATTCTGAACGTCGGTTTGGTATGTCAAGCACTTTAAGCCGTTTCGTCATATTTAAGTATTAATATCTATGTATACGAATACCAGATATGTAAAGGGATGATCGCATATTTCAAGAAAATTTAACAAAAAACTCATTAAAAAATCTAATTGTATTTTTTAAATAGTTAAACTAAATTAAATATGTCTATGGTATCTCATATGAGACTTAATTATTTGTTTAACATCTCGCATACATCAACAAAATGTCTCACACAAAAACTTCATTAAAAAGTTAATTGAACTTTATTTTTGAAACAATATAACAATTGTTGCTTACTAAATCTCAGAGAAAAAACGTACACCGGACGTATTTTGTTGTTGGTTTCAAACTTTATGTTCTTTTTTCGTTATGTTAATTACGACATACTTATTTTAACGTAAGCAAAATTAAACGAGATCGGAAATTCATGAGTTTTAATAAAAAAATTTAATTATAATGGTTTGAAAGAAAATTCTCCTAAACACAGGAAAATCATTTATTGATTGTTTCAAATTTAGTTAACAATTTTTGTTAGTAGTTTCGCTCTGATTGCATTATTATGAGCACAACCCGTTAATAAATTGTTAGTTAAGTTCATTCTACACTCAATGATGTGCCGATGTTTCGGTAAATTTTCTTTCAAACCATCATAATATTAGCTAGAAATAAACAACAAAATTTGAGTATCCGATTTTTTTTTTGTCGGAGTATACATTAAAATCAAGGTAAAAAATATATTACAAAATACACTTAGGACTTGTTAGTTTATATGCTCTCTGGCTTTGTTTGCTTGGTACCATTTTACGTCTTGACCTTCTTCTATCCTGTAGTGAAGGATGTTCCAAAATTCAAATTCAAGAATAGGCTAACCAGGATATCTACTCATTTATCGCCTAGCAGGCCTAAATAAAATATCACAAAATTATGCAAAACTTTAATTGAATTGTATTTTTTTAACGTGAAATTAAAGTAAATATGTATAAAAATGGACGCCGACGATATTTCGGATACATATAAAAATTAAGATAAGAAACATTTAAGACTTTCTAATTGATCACATCCGGCTGTTTTAATCAACACTTTATATTAATTAAAACACACCGTTCTGACACATCCGGTAAAGCCAGGATGTAAACTATTCATCAGAAAATAAGTTACAATCCGTCGACGTAATAATATCCCTCGTAATTAGGATGTATTTACCTTTTTTTTTAATTCTTCTTTTTTTCGTTGTTTTAATATCCACTATGATTTTTCACTTAATTTATTGCTCTGTCATCTAATGAACAACAATGTACACCTTGGGAGGTTTATTTTTCCGCTTCTTCGTCGTAGAATTTCATGAATGAAACACGGAACGTCCTTATAAATTATTCCACCGTTTAAATCATGGTTTAATTATCGCCTGTCAATCCTGAACGAAAATTAATCAGGAGGATCAGACCCGTTTAAATTACAACCGATTAAATACGTATATTTAAAAAGGCATTAATTTTGAACAATTTCTAAGTCTGACCGTTATAAATCGCATCAGTGTTTAATTAAAATCGTCTTTATCTATTCTTTGAATGGTTAACTTTTACCAGAATTGAATTTATTTTATGATCCATTTGTTTTTTTCCAGGCACACTGAGGCCTCCAGGATTAATCGGCGGGAGTAAACCGAAAGTGGCGACGCCGGCCGTCGTCTCAAAAATCGAACAGTACAAAAGGGAGAACCCGACGATATTCGCATGGGAGATCAGAGAACGGCTCATATCGGAAGGTAAGACGGTTACAACCTTGGAAAAATAACAGAATGCTTTTAACATTATCTAATGCCCAAGATCTACGCTATACACGAGTGTGTTTTTTAAAATTTGGCAATACCCTAAAGAAGATACATTTCCAACCAACCCCTCATAACAAAGGTTTGTCTGGGTTCAGATGCACACCACGCACAAATCATGCTTACGATTTTTATGTGGTTGTTTAATTACCATTAATGATAGTTTAATATGACAGTTTACATGACTAATTTTACTATTATTAATTGCCGGTTGTTTTTGTTAACGAGATGTTAATGCTAGGGATGGGGGGATAGGGATAAAAGAGACGGCCACAAGGCCTACTGCACCTAGACCTGAATTGATCTATTGTACTCCCCTGTTTTTTTTTTTTTATAACTCACTAGGCAGCTTCAGGTTATTAACAGCTTTGCCAGCGGTTCCTTGGTGTAGGATCTTGCTTGTGGTTTTTCTTGTCCTATTTGCAAGAACCTGCACCTACATAGACCTTCACAGAAACATAAAATGTGTTCTGCGGTCTCCTCTTCTTCATGGCAGTATCTGCACGGTGTTTCTCCTGTCTGTACTCCGATCCGGTGTGTTATTTCTTAAGTGGCAGTGCCCTGTCAGGTGTCCGACAAGAATCCTGGTTCTGTTGCAGTTGCCTTCCAGTGATTCTTTTGTAAGTTTTGCGGATGGTCCTTCTGTGAATCTTTTCGCGTGCCTCATACCTGTGGTATTGTTCCGCCAGGTTTTGGAGTCATTAAGAATCCATTTTAAGATGTAACCTCTTTTGTGGCAGGTTGCTAGGCCGCAGTAGAATTCTGGGCCAAAAGAGTTGTTGGCTCCCTTTTTGGCCAACATGTCAACCTTTTCGTTGCCTCTAAGCCCGGACTGTCCAGGGACCCATACCAGGATCATGTCGTTAGTGTCGCTGACTTCAGACAGCTTTCTTCGTTCCGTCAGTGCCTCCATGCAGTTCCAAACACCCTTTGCCTTTGCTTTCGCATCGAATGAAGCTAGGGTCCTGAGTGCTGCCTGGCTGTCAGAGAAAATGGCTATCTTCTGGGAATGTGCTTACATTCCTAGCCTTTTTATTTCTCTGGCGCATTGTCCAATCGCTATGATTTCAGACTGGAAAACTGTAGCATACTTACCAAGGTTTACCGTCAGTTCAGTCTTGGGATTCAGCTCCCGTACCGCTAATTACATTACAATTTGTTTACATAAACAACTTTTTTCCTGAAAGTTTGAATATTTGCAAAAGTACCATAATACAAATTTTTAAAAGTATATTTTCAGCGTAGTACACTAATAAAATAATCTCAATCACAGAATTATACAACTCGGAGGACACCCCCCACGTCACGAAATGCACTCATAGGTTTAAAACAATAAAATAAAAACCTTGGAAATAATCACATTTGCAAAACAAGGAAGGCGATGGTGTACGCAATTAAGACATTTGTCGTATAAACTCATTAAACTCTATTCAACAGTCAATAATTAAAACTGCTTTGTTTCGGAGTCAACAAATACACTGTGCAAACTGGCACCAAACCAAGGACAGATTCGAAAAAACAAATTAAGACGTACAAAGATAACTATGTTAAAATTGCACGGCACACCTTACTCAACTGGAAATTACATTGGAAGTCATAGTTGAAAACATAGAGAAATAGTCGTAAATTGGACAATTAAGTAAACGTATATACAATATAATAGTATTGTTGACTTCATTGGGTTTTATTTCCACGGTATTACCATCGATAAAAACTAGATAAAACAATGTATAATAAATATACCATAGCAGAGATGAAAAGAATTTAGAGATAATACATCTTCATGGATAACTATAGCAGAAAAGTTGCAGAAACACAAACTCTTTATTTATTGTCAGTCTAAGTATAAACTCTTTAAAGATTTTTTTATAATTGTTAATTTCATACCACTTAGATAAAAATTTCAAACACTGAGGCATTGTTAACTAAACTTTGAAGTATTTGATGATAATTATTCAGAAATCGTGAGATGCGGTCTGGTGTGATGTAGGTTTCAGAAAAACATTTTCATTATCGTGCAACGTTTCGATCTTTACTGAGATTATCTTCAGGGCTCAAAGTGTTGTCTTCTGTATATTGTGCCATTCTCTCCATAATTGTGGCACTCTCAACACGACACGCAAGAATGGCACAATTACACGGAAGACAAACACTTTGAGCCCTGAAGATGATCTCAATAAAGATCGAACGTGGGCACGATAAAGAAAATGTTTTTCTGAAACCTACATCACACCAGACCGCATCTCACGATTTCTGAATAATTATCGACTAACGGTCACTAATCACCACACGTATTTGATGGTGTTGAATTTAATCAAATAATCCTTTTTTCACTTTCCACGATTTGATCTTGATTTTCGAAAGAACGAAGAGTAAGTTATTGGGTTTTTTCATGCACTTCGTTAACAACATATATCATTATTCGCCCATGCATAATTGTAACTTAATTTAAAAAATATCTTTCTTACTCTGTTATAATCGTACATCCTGTTTAAATAATCAGTGGTATTTTTTTATAATTTCAATGCTAAAATCTCGACTGGAAGTATTCATCTTTGAACGACGATACAGAATGTAGTCAAATAATATTTTTGTTTTTGTTTCTCTGCCCACGATTTGATCCGTGATTTTAGACAAATAAAAACAGAAAATGACTAATAATTTTAGATATAACACGCCAATGTTAAGAAAAAAAAGGATTTTTCAGAAAAACAATTCTTTTGAGACAGAATTGTTGCAGAAAGGAAGTGACGAAATGAAATTTAACTTTATGACTGGCGTCGTATCCTAAATTCGGCCGACAATCAAATAAGTATTGTGGACAGTGGTGAAAAAAAAGTCCTATAGTTTTGTATTTTTAGTCTTTGTAAATTGATTTGGTGTCAATCCAACTACACCCTTTAAGGACATATTTATAAATGTATACTTCATTCAAGTTAAACATAAACGTCAAATACTGTGGCCTTTTTAACTAAGCTTTTATTCAGAAAAACAAATAAAAAAGGCAATAATTTCTAGTATTTCTGGGTATGTTAGTAAACTTAGTAATTACCCCTGAGTTGGGATTAATCCAACTATAAACTCTTTATGGACGATTTTATACATGTATACTTCATTCCACTTAAACATAAATCTCAAATGGCCTTCCTGACTAAGCATTTGCTCAGAAAACATATAAAAAATAATGTTCAGTATATATCTGTATTTAGTAGTAAGTAACCATTGAATAAGGTTCAAACCGACTATAAAACTTTCATAATACTATAAGACATAAATCTCAAATTCTGAGGCCTTAAATAAATATTTATTCAACACTCACATAAAACAAGTAAAAAATTCAATATCATGTGCATTAAACCATTTTGAATATTTAATGCTACTTATGTATTTCAAACTTTAAACCTTGTAACTAAGCATTTATTCAGAAAAAAACATGAAAATCTTTAAAGTTTACTTTTTAAGAAAAGATTCAATATTCTTTTGTATTTATTCGATTTTTTTAAATACTCTTAGAGTTAGTGTCTTAAGAAAGATTTTATAAATAGTACTTATCAAATGTTGATATTGACCTATTGACTTTCGATAAGTAAGAATCTTTAACACAATTGCATTATTTTAGTTCTCATATGGAAAAAATAGATCTAGAACAAGCGGATCCAGAGGTGGTCAAACGGAGGATATGAGTTCAACCACTCGCAGGACATTCAACCGAACGTCACAATCACCATCATTTTTTTAATAAACGTTTTCAACGAATGGTCAATCGAACGTCACACTGTTAACGAAGAATGGGGGCGTCAGGTGAACGTCGGAAGGGCCCGATATGTCACACTTAATCGACAATTGGGTTGCTGGAAAGAGAGAAAAACCCTTTGTGTCCCGTCTGTGGACAAGTTGGAAAGTGACTCTTAGCCTTAAATTCCCTCTCTTTCTTATTCTCCGTCTATCCCACTCGATCGGATTTATTTCCAGTCGGTTATTTATATACGTGGACCATTAATTGGCGCCCCTTTTCGGCTCTACGTCCCAGAAAGACCGGTGCAGTTGCAACTGGACTCGCGGGATGATAAATCGCGTGGAGGACGGTCCGAGATGAAATATAGGACCGGCTACCGGTTGAAATTTCTTTTCGCTGTTTACAGAAGAGCCTGCTTAACCGTACATTTCGAGCTACCTGGCATAACGTGTTACAAGGGTGTTTATCACCAATAAATTCGAGTCACCCTGTGTCAACATTTATTTATAACCATTTTTACGTGCCTTAAGTTTTAAACGAAACAGTAATCTGTGGCAGTATAAAATTTATACACGTTATATCCAAAACCTCAATTTCTGATTAAGACGTTTTGCATTCAAACTGTTTCCCAATTAAATTAACTTTTCAATATATTTTTTTTGTAAATATATCATAAAATTTGGTAGGATAGTGTATTTAGTTCTAAATCTCTTTTCGTATAATTATCATTGCTATCATAATGAATATGAATTATTTTGCTAATAAATAATTTATTCAAAGAGCTGGGTTAAATATAGGCTATTAGTTTCATTGTTTATAGATAATTAAACAACTACCTATGATTTATACATAGATATGATTTAACTACAACATAAATATTACAGAATATTCCCCACGGAGGCTTACTTTACTTAACATACAACGCGTACGTCCACGCATTTTCCTTTTCAAGTTCTCTATAAATATTATGATTCATAAGCCAAATAAACATGCTGATCTTTCTAGTTCGTATCGGCCCGTTAGACTCCTATCTATCCTTGCCCTAATTCTAGAAAAACGACTTCTACCATGATTGTTTCTCATGATTGAAAGTTCTAATTTTTTTCCCGATCGTCAGTTTCGATTCCACAGCATTGCTTGGGTTCTTTCTTGATTTAAAAGAGGCTTTCTAACGAATCGAACAAATTTTTGGAATTAAGGA